CGTTGTATGTCGTTGATAGGGACATGACTGTGGCGATCGATCGGACTGCACACAGCAGTGGCTGTGACTACTATGATCTCCACGACGCGCCAGCTAATTAGAGCAAAAGTGTCGTTAAAGAAAACGGGGTTCTCTTTAAAATAACCTGTAAAATCTGCTCGTCACCGTCATTGTTTTTAATCTACAATTTTAGTTTGATCGCTCTTCGAACTCTATCATGTCCACAGCAAACGTGACACGAAAATGGCGACTTTCGGATCCCCATGCGGAGCTGCCCATCAAGAATCACAAGTATGTGAAAACTGCACCGAGATGTACATGGCAAATAAGCGCATCGACAAAATTGCGAACTTCGATGCTTTCGTCAGCCTCGAGGTGCTCTGGATCAATGACAACCAGGTACGTCATCTGTGCAGTAGTTTTTCCATTAAGATTATTTCTTTGACGACCTGCCAGATTCAGGAACTTGACGGACAGGACGGTTGCTTCCGTCTCAAGCAGATCTACGCTCACAGCAACTGCATCCGTTACGTCAAAAGTTGGCATTGTAGACCTGCTCGCCTCGATAAACAAGTCTACTTCTGGTCCTTTAAACAGCTCGCTTGAAGGTTCACCGCAACTACTACGACCGCAAGGCGTGTGCCGAGTTCGTTAAGCGCTTCTAGGTGGACCAGGAGATAAGGAGGTGCGGGGCGTATTCGACTGGCTCAAGGCTGTCATTGAACGCGACATTACGCGCATGGAGAAGTGGCTCGACTCAAGCCGCAAGGAGCGTAAGGAAATCGCGAACCTCAAGGTCAATGGTAAGGAGATCAACTGGGACGAAGACACGCTGGAGCGTATTCTTGCACTCAAGGAGATTCAAAAGAAGATAGATCGTCAGAACGACCCGCCTTCCAACCACAAGGGCGGCAACAATGAGGCTAAGTTGGCTGACGCTGTAAACCCGTCGGAGCAAGTTCAAGAACATCTCGGAGATCGACTCCAGACTACTCAAGGACACCAGCGGGACTGTCCACTGGGCTGTGAGCGAGGAGGACATGGTGAATGTCACGCCGGCGGAGGAAGTGAAGGCTGAAAAGGAGGAGGGGTCTGCAGCCTCGACCGAGGGAGTGTTATAATAGCTCCAATATTACGTTCAACACATCGATCTCCTCACTTACTTTATGTAAACCGTCCTATTCTTTCGCATTTTTGTATAGTATAATCCAGGTCGTGGTCGTCCCCTTTGTCGCTCGTTTGGTTTGCAGTACGTCGGGCAAATTGTAGTCTTGATACGTTTCGGTGGGGTTATTATAGCGTATGATTGGATCTGCAGTATGATCTAAGTCGTTGACGACAAAGAAAGACGGACCATGTTGGCCACAACCTCCACTCCGTTCCTCATCTTGTAGTCATTGTCGGCTGCATCGACGACCGTGATGCAGCCAAGAGCAGCTTCATCCAATTATTTCGGATGAAGCTATTCGAACCGAATTGCCACCGATAGTTGAACCTTTAAAACCAGTGCGGCCACACGTGGACAATGCTTCCATACAATACATTAACATTAAATGCGCAAATGCTATTCTTCAGCAGTTGAAGATAGCGACGTTCTTTCCGCTCTAAGTCACAACTACACATATTGCGATCGTACAGTATAAGTGCCATTACCAGTGTAGTTGCGATCGTATGACACTGAACATTCTCAGTGAACGTAGTGTTTATATCGTTTGGGTTGGTGTGAAGCTCCTTCACATCTTGCATGTGTTCGTTTCTAAAGCGATACACTATCATACAGATGGTGCGTGCAATCCGCCACTATTTTGATGCTACGTACGGCCGCACTTTGTTGTGCATTTGCTACTTCTTTTTGCAGTTAGGTGGCAGACACGGTAGAACTTCGTGATGATTCTCGAACAAAGCACAAAATTTAGCAAATGTTAAAATACTGCCAAATTAAGCCATCAGGTTTTGTATCTGTACGTCGCTGGTTGGACCCGCTCGGCATTCTACCAGCCCTGGGCTGGTAGTCCTCATCGAAAAAATCTAACTACTTTTGAGCTGTCATCAGGTCCTTAAAGGCTGCTGATGTGATCTTCTTAAAACCTTGAAAACGAAATTTTTCGGCGGAATGCGTACCAGTGCCGAACTTGATGCTACGCTCATGACCTCCGATAGCTAATCCAAAATCCAGACGTATTCACTCGCAAATATTTTGCGAATATGGCCAAATCCCCGACAGCAGCAGGATTTGTATTTACGAAGAACTTATGTTCAATTGACCCCAGTTCGCCAGCTTGAACTAAACCAAACAAAATCTTGATAGCGAAGTTGTTCGCATAGACTGTCAGTTTCATGTAGCCATTCGGAACCATAATCTTGGTAATGAAGTGGTACAACATGCGGATCACTTCATCCGTTCCTTTTTCAGCGACAGACTTGACGAACAGGTAGCTGTACTGAATGCCCTTGTTAGCGTAGTAGATCCAAACAAAGAGATACTGAACAGCGATATAAACTACCTCTGAGACGGAGTCGACAAAACACTCGGCAGCTTCAGCTTTTTGCTGTAGCCCATGATCATCACAGCGTGATCATCCGAAGCGGCTGACAGATCTCGCTGGTACTTCTCACTACAGAAACGCTCACAGTAAATCGAAATGCTGTTAGCGTACGCAGCAGAAGCCAGCTGTTAAGCAAAATGCTTCTTGTATTCTTAATACACATACCTCCTCTTTCTGGCTGCGCTTGTTTGAGCATCGAGTTGCTCTGTGAGCTTCGCGGTAATTCGCCTTCATCTTCCAGTACAGGATCGCACCGAAGTCGCACACGTTGCTGTGTTGGGCTCGGATGCGAATTGTGTGTGTATGTGTCTGTGTGTGTGGAGGGAGGGGGCAAGACGGCTTCCTGAACGCTGAGTGCTTAGGCTCACGAACGTCGATGCTATCCTCGAGAGCATACGTTTGCATTTCGCCACGAAGTAGGTCCCACGTAAAGTGACTCGGTAGCATTATGTAGTTATCTGAAGAACCGTGTTTGCGCACAACGCAGTCGACTGGCTTTTGAATGCGCATGCGAACAGGCACCACGCCACCCGCGGAAGCGGCAAACGATCGAAACCATTGTACCAGCTAGTCATTTTCGATCTTGTTTTCGCTCAGATTGAAGTGACCTCCATGTTGCTTTACCGGGAAATCTCCACGTTGAATCTGCTGACCATACCGGGTGACCGTCGCCATTGAGACATCATACAGAGCACACCAAGATGCACGGCAAACATGCCCAACGAGAGGTAGTTACTACGAAAACCTTAGCCGCGATCCAGTCCCGCGACGACGTACAGTAGTGTCTGTCTTCATGAGCAGCGCCAAGGCAGTGCGAATGCTCTGTTTGCGCTCAAGAGGAGTCATCTATACCACGGAGCAGACGCAATCATGTACATTCAGGGCCTTCCCCTCTACACGGCGTTATTCGAAAGTGTCAGTGTTGATTAAGGCCGTAACGCTCGCGCACGTCCGTAGCAATCGAAATGATTCTTCCTGCCTTCCGTGCGTTCATCGTCGATGACTGCGTGCTGGCAATGCAGAGCCATTTTAACAACCAAATTCAGGGTCATACACCCGATGCAGAGGAATGCATCAGCGTCCCCATCAGCTTCTTGCTGATGGTGTACAAGCTGAGCCGCACACCGACGTCGACGTACAGCATCTCGCCCAGTGTACCCGTGCAGATATCGCTCAGATACTTCTCTAAGGCATCCTACATCTCGATCGCACGCTATAAGCAGACAGAAAGTATCACTCCGTGCAGAGGCTCGACCAGCTCTGTCGCGATGTGTCCCGTACCCGGGAACGAAGGGGTCATTCCAGGAGCTATACGCCCCGACGGGATGACCCGAGGCCCTGTGGCTACTCCTCGCCCGGCCGTCCCGTCAGGATGGCCCCCCCTTGAGCTCGACGACTCGCGTGCCCCTGACCGAGCCCGTTAAAGTGGTTCTATAAGGTGGTCCAAGAACGCTGATTCTCAGGCGTCGTGGGACCAAAGCACCTAGCGTCATCAAGTCCCTTCCCAGAACTCCATGTTGTCCCACGAGGGCGGACGTCAGGTGTAGTGAACTCTTCTTTCTAGTATAAGAGAAGCGGTGTAGTGTATGTAAGGAAGAAAATGTGTTAGACCTTTCTTCCAGTTAGCTCTCAGTCTTATATTTCTCACCTTCTACTCAAGAGGAAGCCAAGTCAATAAACAAGCTTATATTCTTTTGAGTGTTCCTATCTACCGTTCTGGCCATTGAACAAGACTGCACTCCCTGAACAGCCGCGGACTACACGACCCTTGAAGGAGCAGGTATACGACAGATGATTCGGCGTGCGGTCAACTCGGGGATGCCGTTGTGCTTCGCCACCACCAGCGAGTCTCCCCATCCCGGATACCGTCGAGAATGCGGGTTCTAGCGGTGAAGAGGGAGTGGTTGATATCAGGCACGGGGTTGTGGCGTTTTTTAGATAATGTGATGCTTGGTAAGGCGCGAAAAGAAGAATGAAGGAATTGGTCACCAACTTGCTCTGCGCAAGATCCGCTTTGAACTGCAATACCATCGTTTACGAAACCGATCTCGTACGTAGCACAAATAAGCTTTCTTCAGAAACTTCGATGCTACACTTCACCACATTGCTCTGCAGCACCTCCAACTTGAACAGGCAAAGATGTAGTCTCTGTGGGGCCACTTCAACTGGCATTAACTACGAAAATTCAAATCAGACCACAGTAGATAGAGTTCAGTCTCTATTGATACCGTTAAAACCTCTTTTTCTTTATATAAAGTTGAAAGACCCCAAAAGCTTCCACGTTATGTAGTCAATCTGAAACGAAGTAAAGGACTTCAAAGTATTTTGAATAGCAGTAGTACACTATATTTCAAAGAGCAAATTGCAAACCGATCCACTCCTTATAATATTTTTTAGACGTGGTTCAACCACTGGTTGATCGGGTAGATGCTGTATGACGCCGTACCGAAAACTTTACAGCAACGGTCTGCGCTCGCTGCTGGATTCACGGCGGTTGTTATAGGCGCGGATAGCAACAACAGCGGCACCAACCACCACGACTGCCGCGATCACAATGACCACAATAGACCAGGTCGACAGATCTTCGCTGCCGGATATTTCGATAGGGGCGAACACCGCTGCAACCTCCGAGGTCGCCGGAATGCACTTCGTCTTGGCCAGTGTGCTGAACCACTTGGCAGCCGGACGTGGGATGCGCTCGAGCTCCGAGGGCTTCGCCGAGACGTAGTTCGTGGAACCAGTCTGGGACGTAAAGTTGACGTAGTACAGTCCGAAGCGTGGCTCAAAGGAGCCCCATTCGTAGTTATCCAGATAGGACCAGGCCGTGTAGCCAATGACTTTGATCTTTTCCTCGGTCACAGCTTTGTAAACCTGTTCCATATAATTCGTGTAGTACCACATCTGGTCTTCAGCACCATCAGCCTCAGCGTTGCCGCACCAACCGTTCTCTGTCAGCAAGACATCAGCCGACGGATCGTGTGCAGCGACCCACTTAATCAAAGCCAGATATCCAGGCGGGTACGCCGTGAACCAAGCGCAGTTGCGATTGCCGTTGCGGTCCTTGCTGGAAGAACGCGAGCCTTCGGGAGCGCGTGTGTCGTCAACACCCTTGTCCTTCTCCCAGCCAAGAGTGAGCTGATCACAGTCACGTTTGGACGTCGGCGAGTCGCAGTCTGTCACGGACTTGGAAGCATAGTGATTGATCATAAACAGATCGTACGATCCCTTGAGGGTCTCTGATTCTTGCGCAGTAAAACGAGGAAGACGGTCGCCGACCACCTCGCGCATGACGGCCGGGTAATCACCAGAGACAATGGGCTGCAGGAACCAACCGTAGTCGAACTGCAGCGCGCGCTCAGCGGCAGCAACGTCCTTGGGATTGGAGGGGTCAAGCGGGAACATCATGTGTGCCACAAGCACGATACCGATGCGAGCCGTAGGTCGCACAATACCGTTTTTACGAAAATCACGGAACTTTTGCACCGCTAGAGCATGGGCACGCAGGAGATTATGAGTCACAACGTACGTGTTGGTATCGGATCCGGTGAAGCCGGGGGCGTGCACGCCGGTACCGTAGCCCTGCGTAACAAACGAGTACGGCTCGTTAAACGTCGTCCAGTAGTCGAGTTTCTGGCCGAACTCCTGGAACACGAGCGTAGCAAAGTCGACGTAGTGCCCAATTATGTCCGAACTGAGCCAGCCTGCCGGGGAGAGCTCCGTTTGCAGAGCCGAGGGCAGGTCCCAGTGGTAGATAGTCAGGATCGGCTTGAGGTTGTTCTTAGCCATATCATCAATAAGGTCGTGGTAGAAGGCGATACCGGTCGGGTTGAGCACCATGCGGCGCTTCGCCGGGTTCCACGTCATGACACGCGACCAGGAGATCGAAAAGCGAAAAGACTGCAGACCGTCGTCGGCCATCATTTTGAGGTCGCTAGGATAGCGATGGTAAAAGTCGTCGGCCACGTTGGCGCAAGCTAGACCGGGTTTCTCTCGGCAGAAATCGTCCCAGATACTGGGTGTGCGACCTCCCTCCGTGTAGGCGCCTTCCACCTGGTACGAGGCGGTGGCTGAGCCGAACATGAAGTCCTTGTGGAAGCAGCGCTCCTCGGCGGCTGCGGGGGCCAGCAGGATGGTGACAGCCGCAAGAGCACACGGCAGCAGACGCAGCATGCTCATTGTTAGTCAAGCTACTAGAAGATGTATATAGGACCTGGAGAATTGGCGACTGGCAGTCCACACACATCGACAATTTGCACTTCAAGTTGGAATATTACCAAAAGAGGGTCATTAAACTTGATTTCAGTAAACGTGGTATCTTGTATTTGAAAGTGTGGACCCCATAATCCACGCAACAATGTTGACACTCCACCATCAAGAGTTAGTGAGCGGTCTCATACTGACACGGAGTCAATTGACCTCTTATTAGAATTAAAGCGCTTTATTGAGATTGTATGTTAAGGTACAGACTCCGCCCAGAAGCTGAGAAGCAAATACATCTTATACCCTCGCAAACACGGTAATACTACTTTCAGCCTTTTCATACGTGGTACTTATTATTTGCAAGAATCAATAGCCTATGATTACTATATATCCTTTGGGAACTAAGATGGTGTACCTGTCCTCCTGCAAAAAACAAGAGAGTGATCCGCTTGGCGACAGCCAATCAGATGCGAATTCCCTCGGATTTTGATTCAGACGCTCGTCATAACCCTTCAACATATTGGCTCGCTCCCTTTTGGCATCGGCCCCACACCTTCCGGGCCTCCTGGCACCTCTACTACGAGTCAGTAGTACTTCCCCCACGGCGAAATCCACCCCGCCGGACTGTTAAATTGTAACTTTGGATGGCCGCAAATCAGTCTATGGCTATTTAATTCTGGGATAGGAAAGCAACGTAGTGCTGATAGCCCAGCCCTCACAGGATTAATTGCGGTGTCCGTCCGTCCGTCCACAGAGACCGGTAGAAAACCGGTACAGCGTGCATGAGTGGTTTGTTCCTGCGAGATGGATGCGGGGCGACTGAGCCTCAAATGATGGCTCCGGACGCTTTCGGCCGCTGCGTGGTTAACGCTCTCATTGCAGATTGCAGGTTGGGAGATGGAGACAGCTCCTCGACGACAGAGCCGGGCTGCTGAGACACCGATCGAGCGGGACGCGCGCATACAAAAGGAGCGTCTGAAACGCGCGAAGAAGCGTGCGGAGGAGACCCCAGCCGCGCAGAAAACGCGCCTAGCAGAAGAACGTCAGAAGAGAGCAAGTAAACGCGCAGAGGATACCCCTCTAGTGCGCACAGAACGTCTTGAGAAGGATCGAGCGAGAAGAGCGAGAGTGAGAGCTGGGCGCGGGCATGCAGCTCGAAAAATACTTCTTGCAGAGAGGCGGGCTGGTGACAGGGCTCGTCGAAGTGGCCAGCGCCGTGAAACCGGGGCTGTTGTTAGCGTCGCTATGGAGGAGCTGAGAGCTGGAGCTTTGAGCTGTGGAAACTTTTCGGGCGAGGAAATTGCATTTCTGGGCTCGTCTCAGCGGTATACGAGTGATCCGCGACTTGCGCTTGCATATCGCCACTGCTTCGGTGTTGACCCGGCGGGGTTTGTGTTTGGCGACGAACAACTTCATGGCGGTAAATGGGACGTTACGCGCGAGCGTCTAATGAATATATTTGATGACTATCCTAAGCCTAATGATTTGACGGCGTGCCAGAATCTCGCGGGTGAAGGCGAGTCGGGGTCAACTGATATATGGGCTTGTGCCTCGTGTGGGCGAGTGTTACTACACAATAAGAAAGGCGACAAGATTGTTTTTCTCTGCTTTGCTGGAAAAGCAGAATTTTGCGTTGGGTGGTGCGAGTCGTAGGAGTTTGTTTGCTGGTTGTTCCGAGGCTAGCGTGCGCAAATACCGTCAGGTTTACTTTGCTGGCGACCAAGTCTATTACTTGATACCGGAGTTAGTCCGCGATATAGAATATATCCCTTTTTGTGAGTCGTGTCAAGAAGATCCAACGAAGAGTCCGTTTAGTGCTGCAAGCGGCCACGATTACGGCCGTGTTGGCGAACTACAGGAGCTGACCCAGATTGCACTGGACTGTATTGCCCCAGTGGAAGTTTTTGGATGGATAATTCCCTAACAGCAAAGCATTCTAGTGGTCATACTATCTGTTTTCCCTTGGACGGCCGTCCAAGGTTGCTGCTGTCTTGCCTCGACTTGCACCTGATTGTATGCCGCGCGTAACATTTGCTGGGCCCAAAGAAGATTGGCGGATTCAAAAGCAAAACTTCCGAGCCCTCTATTCAATCCCGGTCGATTCTGTCTATTAATGGCTCCGTGTGCTTGGTGAAATGAATGATGTTTTCCGGGAAGAGCAGATTCAGATCGATGACTGTGGACAACGCCGTCGCCAGCTGATGGACCTCGAGAACGCGATTGACGATAGTGTTCATGTGACTGACTCAGGGGATGCTAACGCAGTGTGCGACTTAGCAACGTCAGAGCGCTTTGGGTCCGATATACATGTTTGTCGTGGTACGCAAGGGGATCATTTAAATGGGCAGAATGAGGTTATTCAACAATCGGCGGTGCTTCCCGCTCGTGCTGAGTCTGTTTCTGTTGCACACGGGATTGTCGACGCGTTGCTAGATGCAATGCCCCCGGAAACCCAGCCGAGCACGGGCAATTCCTCTCTTCTCGTGCCGATCAAACGGGGTTGTTTGCCAATGGTGGAGTGGCACGAAAACGCTAAAATTCTTGCTGGTGTGTTTCCTGATCTTTTTTTAATGAGATCGGGTCCGCTTCCCTCCGGGCCAATGCCTCAGCGTTAGTTGACCACTTTGTGCACTACTGGGATGGATGATTCGAGAAATCAACACGATTTCTAGCACTACTTTTTTAATCAGATGCAGCGTCACGCCGCCGTGAGAAATGCCGCACGAGTTGGGGTAGTACGCTGAAATCCTCTGGCAAACTAGCAAGCACACAAGAGTTTAAGGAGGCTCTACAACTTGCGAAAGACCAGCCCGACAGTTCTCGTGCGATTAAGCTGAACGCGGTGCTCCTCAGATTACTGTCGTTGGTTGCACGGACCGTCCTGTTTTCTCCGTACGAGGGATCGGCGACCCGGCCAAAGCTTGGGGCGATGCGGTACAAGTATGGTGTCGGACAACATTGGGTGACGATTGCTCCGCCCGAGCATGACGACCTCTTATTACACCGGACTGCTCAGCTACGACACAAGAAACGTTTTTACGACGAGTCTTCCTCGTTTACGCTGAAGGCATGCGGTTTTTCAGACTTGCCACGCGATCTACAAAAAAGTGCCCGTGCGCGTTTGAAGATTTCTAATGCGTACCCCGCGTTGGCGGCACAAGTTTTTGAGCGGAAAGTCCGCGTGTTCACTCAGGCGTTACTGCGGTGCGGCGATAGCTCGTCTACGAGGGTCAGCCGTAATAACTCGGAGCGCGAACAGGGCGTATATGGCCGTGTAGCCGGCTTTAATGCTGCCGTTGAGCCCAGGTTGACGGCCGATTACATCTTCATGCAATTGTTTACGGAGCAGCGGTAAGCCCTGCGCTGTTGACAAGTGCGGCGTCATGTCCTGCGTTGTGGCTATCCCTGAGGCGCTGATTGGACGCAGTATCATGCACTGCGATCTCGAAAGAAGCTTGTGCTTGGCGCGACGAATGGCTCCGCGATCATGATGGTAAGATGCCACGAGCGTTCAACATTCCCGCGCTTGACGTAGCTTCCGATTACGTTGGAGTTATAAATGCGCCGAACGACGAGTGCTATCAACAAATGTTCACACACACCCGCGAACATGCCGCAAAGGATTGCGTGGGAAGTTCGTGTGCCGGCTAGCCCGCCCCGCTGGTGTTCACGAATAAGAGGCTGAGCCGCTAGCTTTACAACTAGCTGCCGCGAGCCATTTAGGGAAGCGAAAGCGTGCTGAATTTGTCGTTGGTGATGTTATCGACGCGGCAGGATCTATTGATGCTCCAATCAACTTCACCAATAAACGGGTGTTGCGCGAGCACACGAAAGGGGCAGTCGTTTGAGAGCAGCGTCGAGACCCAAAGGATGAATTGTTTGTAGAGACCAACCTCTCACTTGCGTGCTTTACCAAGTCACATACAAACTCGACAAAATTTAATGGCATTGCTGCGAGTGATATGGTGGAAGCACGCATACATGGCCAAGGAGAAGGGGGTCTAAAGAGCTGAGCGACGGTGATGTTGACTGCAATACGTGATGTGGAAAAGTATTCTAGCACTGCAGACGACAGCGGTGCGTTTGAACGGCAAGCAAAGTACTTGGCAACTCGCACTGTAAATGCGCGTACTGGAGTAACTGAGTGGCCTCACCAGCTCGTCGCTTATGCTCTCGCAGGCTACCGCTCTTATTTTTGAGCGATACGTTTTGGAATATGTTTCCCCGGGAGCTTAGATGAGGTTGTTTCAGGTGTTGGGCTTGAAGAGGATACTAGGGTACCTAGTAATGAAGGCGAGGAAATACAAGAGGATGGCGATGTGTCCACGAATCAAGGGCGTTTAGAAAAACTGATCAGCGCTTCAATGGACGAGTGTCAGGTGGGAGCCACTCGCGGGTGTCATCACCAGAAAACAGGAGCTAAAATGTACTCAGTTGACAAGGAGGTGGTCTTCGTTTCACAGGCAGTATCGTATCGTCACCAGGGCGAACCCTTTGCGGATTATTCGCCATTAGAATTTGAAATGATCGTAAATATTTTGCCGAGGAAGAAAACGGATACAGAGTTGAGCAGTACTGGACGTGGTCGGCCAAAAAGACAGGGCTTAGATCTCTCGCCTTCGCACTCGTTGAGCCCGGGATTCCAAATATTTATCCGAGCCAAATCAGAACGCCGATGCTTGGTGGAGCCCCGCTACCCTCGTTAAAAAAAGGAAGGTCGTCCCCCTGATTCTTTGGGGAAATACTTGGTGTGCTTGATGACTGAGTGGGCGCTAGGCAACGGTAGGCCGAGGTATGCGCTAAATGGCGACGGCGTGTTGAGCCTTTGCGCAAATTGGAACCGAATTGGTGCTAGTTTTGTTGACCGGATGCGATACTGTGTCGTGGAACATATTTTGCAAAAGGGCTATAGAAATCCGCGCAACGAAAAAGCGTGCTCAGCGTGGAGAAGTCGTAATGCAGACTTTGGACTGATAGGGCTGTGGCATCTGGTCGCACTTCCCCGCAGAGTGCACGTGTATCTTGCGATTATGGGTCCGACACCGAGGCTAGAGGTTCTCTCCATCGAAGACCTTTTGGAATAGACGGTGGGCGCGGCAGCAAAAGATACAAAGGCAGTCAAGACTGCCAGATTAATGCGTTCACCATTTTTAGCGTTGATTCCAAGTGGGGGGGGGTTCTTGAGCTGTTCAGGCTAGTAGTGATGACCCAATTTTAAACCAACCGGGCAATTGGCTCTCATAGCAAAGAACGTTCACGCGATGCTGTCTCCAGAGCAAAATAAATCTGGTCCTTCTCATCCTGTTGGAGAAGACACAGAAAGCGGCTCGACTTCGGGTGGTCTCGGCACTGGTCTTACAGACCGCACCGAAAGGATGACGTGTTCCCCTGATCGGCGCGATGTTTTTGATCGAATTATCGGCTCGGATGAGCGGATGGGCAAACTGCGGCAGACGCTTACTTTACTTCATGGTGGTGGAGGAACGGGAAAATCGAGGCCGATGAGAATGATTACTCTTGTCTTACGACAGCACGGGATTGACACCGTTAATACTTGTCCTACCGGTGTTGGGGCTTGCCATCTTGTCAACGGGAAGACATTTCATTCCGCTTTTAAGACGTTTCGGAAAGGGAACCTTAACCTCGGGTTGCTGCGGTTAACCCTTACAGAAAACGTTGGGTTGATCGTGATCGATGAAGCCTCCATGTTCTGTGCCGAGTTTCTAGTCCTGCTCGATCAACGCCTCCGGGCAATCTACAACTGTGATCAAGTGTTTGGTGGGCGCTCGATATTGTTGGTACGCTGCTTATTTAGTGGTTGTCGGGGCACCTTCCTTAGCGCTAATATGGTACATGTGGCTTACATAGGTTGGCGACTTTTTACAGCTTGAAGTCACCGGGGACACTCCGTTGTGTAAGGGCTTGTATATGACCACTACCTCCGATGCGTTGTTATCGGCTAGGATTTTTTCCCGTCTCTTTAGCATCTATTTTCTCGAGACTCAACATCGAGCAGCTGCCTGCGCGGCTCAGCGGTCGAACATATCCGCCTGTCGCGCGCTACCTAGTTTTTATCCGTCGGGACAAAGGTGGACTGAAGAAGATGCTGCATTGCTCCGACCCATGCCAGATGCCGTTGTCGCCGCTTTAACGAATGAGTTAACTGCTCGAGATGTCGAGAATGATCAAGACTGGATGGATAGTCTCACTATACTCGTCACGAGTAGCGCCGACAAGGCGATTTTGACGTCTTGCACGGCTCAACTATTTGCAAAGAAACAAAAACAAACGCTTTTTCGCTTGAGAAGGCAGCTCCGGCAGGATTTACCTAAAAAGCTGGAGAAGCTGGTGTATGATGAGGACGCAAATCCGGAATTATTTGCGTATTCTGTTGGTGGTGCTCCCGCGAACGTGCTTGATAATAATAGCGAAAACGTTGGATGGGGGGTCGCAAATGGAAGCCGTGTATGCTTCATTCTTTGGCCTGGGATGGTTAAGCGAAACGCAGGATTGTGTCTGCGCTCGCTGAAGATGTGCATCGGCGCGGTAAGGCTGTCATCGATCTACCATTCCTGCCCGACTTTATCTATGTTCAACTGATTGGTACTAACGAAGATGGCGTACTCGCTGAGCAATGGCCTCCGGAGAATAATTTGGAAACGCGATGGCTATACCATTCTGATGGTAGACGGAAATGCAAGGTCAGTGTAGTGATCCCGATTGGTGTCATGGGTTTAATGGGTAGAAAGCAGAGGTTCATTTGGGAGAGAATGCAAAATTAGTGTTGGGGCCAGCTCGCGCAGACCATTAGGGAGATACTTGAAGGGGCTGTGGTTCTCATTCGGCGAGGTTTGAGCACGGATTACAATAACTCAAGGTCGACCTCGATTGGTGCAGGGTCCGATATTCTTCAAGACCCGATTTTTGACCGCGCGGGGGAACTACGTCAATGGTATGCTGGGATGTCGCCGGATCACGTCTTTCACGGCCTGTCTCCTACGCCCTGATAACATTAAAACTTTTGGGGTTAAAGGTTACCTTTTGATAGCAGTAGTGCCTGATAACAGTTGAAATTTTCGGTGCAAAAAGGATAACAGTGAGCGACGGGAATATTGGGTCAGTAAGACTAATCTTCCGTGCGATGAACAGAGTCCAGTGAGGTCTCAAGGACATTTATTTCGCTTTTAATATCAACGAGAGTGTTGGTTTGAATATCTACGACATTGCTGGTGACGCAAACCGGTACAAACCGGTATATCCTATCCCAGCTTTGCGTAGCCCTAGTCAGATGCCTGGCGACCAACTCAAAGTCTGTTCAATTGCTCGTGTCATAGTAAAGATAAGTAAATATGTGAGATGGTGCTACATGTATCATGATAGTGTACTTGATCGATTAAATGTTTATCACACAATGCAGATAATAATTATGCAAAAAGACCTACCATGTACGGTAGGCAGCTTCTAGTTTTGAGCCTAATGACTGCTAAAGTATCCGATTTACCGAGAAGTTTGGGCAGCGAAGGGCAGCGTGAAGGGATGCAAGTGTAGATAGGTAGAAATAATTCTTGTAGAGAAGCTTTAGTACTAAAGGACAAGAAGCTTGTGAAGGGTTGAGTATAAGAATAAGTGAGGACCAATGATGCCGATCCTCTCGTTTTTGTGCATAAATTTGTATTTCGATACATCGTTTTGCATAAAATACAAAGCTCTTTCTTACAGCATTGCTGTGACTTCGGTATAGCAAATCATGTCGGAGATGCATACTTCAACAATTACTTTAAGTACAGGGAGTAGCGGCAATAAGAAAGGGTCAAAAACTAATATCACTGACATTATAATGCATGTGCTTATACAGGACCTCACTATAAGTACTGAGGTAGTCGAAACGAAGCGACGTTCACTCTTTTTTTATTTTGAAAATCAAATTTCCCGCCCACAACCACGAACCCACTCCATCCTCGGCATCATGAACTGCGTGTGCTCGACGAAGAACCCGTCCTACATTTACGCTGACACAGTGCCCCCCACCGCGTATTCGCCTCACGTAGCTGCAGCAGCTTCATGTCTGCCGCCAACACGCCAAGTTTCCTGCGTGGAGCCACCGCAAGCCTGCTGTCTGGACCCAGTCCGCGTTTGGGCTACCAAAGTCACCCTCCATCCATACTGTGTCGAGGCTGCTGAAGAGGGAGGCACAGTTGCTCTCAACATCCATTGACTATTTAGACAGCAAGAAGGCCTCGTCACCCACGTGGTTGCTGCTGGAGACGTACTTGGTGGAGCGGTTGGCAGAGGCTGAGTCGCGACGGTATGCGGTAGCGCGCGCGAGTGTTCGCTGAGATTTTGAAGATACCTCTCGCAAAGTAGCCGAAGTTTACCAAAAGCGGCTGGCAGCACCACTTTATGGCTTGCCACAGCCTCAAGAAGCTATATTATGGGGGAAATTTAAGGAGCCACGATGGCTGCAGGATATGCCTAGTTTCACTACATGTCACGGCACTGGGAAGGGCTGGATGACAGTAAAGCTTTTCCAAGAGTGGCTACAAACACTAGACATAGAAATTACTGAGCATGGCAGACATATGCTGCTGCTGGATAACGCCAACCTATGAGCCAAGGGGTCATAGCGTGGTTGAAGCAGCGCTATATGGCTACAGGGACACAAGAGGCAGCTATACGCAGGGGTTCCGAAAATGCTATTGTTATTTTGTTAGAGGATTCAGTAATACAAATAATTTTACCTATCTCTTAGTCAGAGGTGCCTGCAATAGTTGAACATATTGCACGAAATACATAGGAGTTTGTATGGAGAATGAGTATTGTGAGATTATTGCGCTCCCCGAACGACCTTGCGCACAGTGGCTGCGCTCCAGTACGTGCGGTTCACCTTTAAAAAGAGGATACTCTCGAGATGCAGTGGAGTCATGGCTTGGTGGTGTATGCCAACCACTGCCTTCACCTGACTAAAGAATCTCTCCATGATGTTGGAAGTCGGAGCGATCATATACACTTGATCGCTAAAGCGTGGAGTAGTTTGACGAAGTCGTCTCGCCTGCTCGAGCGCAACTGCGGCAACATCTTTACCCAGCGCCGTTGTCTCCGACGAACTCGATGGGGGAGCGTCTTCCGCGGCTAGCGGCTCAAGCATAGTCTTCTCATCGTTAGACAGCAATCCCTCATGACCCAGCAGCATATTAACACAAGCTCGCTCAAAGCCAGGACGATCTCTGCCTCGGTTTGGAGGTACTTGGCGACTTCGGATTTCTGTGCAATAAGCGCGTCGAAGAGGTCGCGCACGTCGAGTAGCGTTATGTAGTCCGCACTTTGCAACGTTTTAGAGGTCGATTCGTAGATCTTGAGTGTTGATATTGGTCGAGCTGTGTGTAAAAATAGATGAGGTGTGAAGATGTTTGGACCCAGGAGAGGGGTTTTACGTTCATTCCTCAGTAGTTACGAAACGGGCAGATAGATAGGATGCTCGGGCCGTGCGCTCCTTGAATGCCACTTCCTCAATTCCTCTATCAATATTAAAAGGTTTTGAGCTTAACATCGCGAAGAGGCAGAACAAGCTGAGAGAACCTTGAGCTTCATAACCATGTCTCGCTTAAACTAGAAGGACTGCTAAAACTTCGGCTCTCGCAAGCCAGACTTTACTGCCTGGCAAATTCGGATCAGAGCTCTACTAGAGGCAGAAGGAGTTTGGGACATTGTAAACAAGGACCGCCGATACAATCGTCACTGGGGTTTCCGTCGTCGATAAGACTTCATCTCCTAAGACAAGAAGGCGTTTTAGCTACTCATAAACTCGCTAGATGATGCGACAGTCAAGGCTATGAGCAAGTATGAGTACTCGTGGTCAGTGTACGAGCATATGCAGCGCGTGTACGCATCTAAAGACACTGTAAGCATCTTTCACACCAGATCAAGCTTCCACAATCTGAGGTACGACGGCGACGATATGCAGTCTCACATCAACGATCTGGAAGAGAAGGCTGAAACGTTGGCCCGGCTTGGTCGCCCTATCGACGATGAAAAGAAGGTCATGCAAATGCTTGGATCGGTGCCGGATTCCTGGAAGAGCTTCGTAATGGTATGCCAGAATCAAATGAGACTGAAGTGGCGAGACCTGCAAACAAAGCTTCTACTAGAAATGGACACTCGCAAATATACCCGTCATATCACTGAAGTACAAGCCCACGTTGCCAGTAACTTCATTCTCGATCTTAACATTGTCTGTACTGTACCCAGAGCAGCAGTGAAGCTGCACACTTTGGTCAAGGACCACCTCGTCCTTTCAGTGGACGCATGCCATTTCATGGTCAGCAATATCGTCACTTGCGCATCCATACCAGCGAAATGATCGTCGTGACAAAACCAATTGTGTAATTACTGCGGTAAACCGGGACACTTTATTAGCGATTGCCTTCTAAAGCAAACCACAATCGTGAGTGTGGAATCACAAGCCAATCGTCAGTTGCTGCGATTGGAAAGGCCGTCACTGATAATGCAGGCGAAGAAAACCTCGACAGCTATGACGTTCTCACTATCGCTGTATCTATGGATCAAATGAACACTTCGCCGGAGACGGCCCTGTAAGCCGCGGAATCAGCTGGTCCCACCATAGCACGTGACGCGTGGGTACTTGACTCTGGTTGTACCCACCACATGTGTTTTGACAAGACTTACTTCTCCGATATGAAGCCGATTGACAAGAAGGTGTATCTAGGTGCCAACCATTTTCTCGAAGTAAAAGGAATTGGTGCTGCAACACCGACGAAGACGGGAACTACGTCAAGCTGACGCTTTCCGACTTCTTATATCTACCCGATATTAGCCGCAATCTCCTGAGTGCACGGTGCCTCCGTGAAAAAGGAATCAACTCCGACTTCAGTACCTTCGTTGACCGTGCTGTCATTCACAAAGGGCGCATGAAGATCAAGTCCGATGCGAGCCCGTACAACAAACTGTATGTGTTTAAAACGAACTCGATTAATATACCGACTGAATCCGCGTGTAGTGGAGTTGGAAGTCTATCCATACAGCTTTGGCACTCACGGTGTGGCCATTTAGGATTTCAGAACATCGCCAAGCTTGTATCTAGAGGACGAGCACACGAGCTGCAAGTTTCAAAGCGAGATCTGGTTGATTTTCTGTTGGTGACGTGTGTGAGCGATCGAACCAACATCGAGCGTCATTCAAGCGGACGTACACGCAGCACGTATATCAAGTGAACGAGTTGGTATACACGGATATCAAGGGGCCCATTGAAGTTCCGTCGTTCAGTAACAAGCGCTATGTTCTGTTATTTGTCGACGATTTTTCTGGGTTTGTAACTACTTTCTTACTGGCGCACAAGTCGGAGGCGTTTGTACGATTCAGGGAGTACGTAGTGGCTGCAGAGACCAAGCACAACCTACCTGTAAAGGCGGTAAACTCGGATAATGGTGGTGAGTTTACGTCACTTGACTGGAAAGTGTTTTGTCAGATGAAAGGGATCGAACGCCGGACAGCAACGCCATACACACCAGAGCAGAATGGCAGTGCAGAAGTTCGATTCCGAGTGCTGTTTCGGAAAGTACGGGCGCCACTTATTGATGCTCAACTACCAAAATATTTCTGGGGAGAGGCTTTCTTTACGGCAACGTTGCCGAATAATATAAGTCCACTACGACGAGCAGATGTCACGCCGTTCGAGCGTTGGCAGCGGAAAGAGGCTGACTACACTAATATTCGAGTATTTCGATGCATTGCATACCCTTACGTTGCGCCAGCTCACCCGAAGGCACTGCAACTGACGGAAACGCCAAGTACACGTATGACACTCGACAATCGTAGCGTGAGAGGCATATTCGTTGGATACACTGAGGACCAGAAGGCATGGTGAGTTCTTCACTGCGAAACGAACACTTTTGTGATGGCGTGCCACGCTACATTCGACGAGTCTGGCTCCTTCGCTCAAATGAACCTCAACCGGCTGGAACTGCAGAGACTCGAAAAACAACAATGCCTGGACCTAATTCAACCCTCTCAACAGGCAAAAGTAATTCCTGATCTAGCCTTCTACGCGGAGCCTGTTATTGAAGACACCAGCGAATATGACAGGGAGATACGGCAGTTAGACGCTTTTATTGACGAATTTTACCTTGATGGGCATGTGGACAAGAGCGGAGAACTACCGGATGTGGCCTGCTACATTGGTCGTCATGGCAGTAATAATGGTACACCATTACAAGGTCGCATTGGAAGCAAACCACAAGTGCTTACCATGTGTGGAGCAGACCAGCTCTCAGAAAAGCAAAATGATGCCGAGGTCCTGGTAGCCACTGAAGACATCGCAAGCAAGACGAAGAGCAGCAAAATAAATAACATGGCCACGCGGGTGAGCCCAAGACCCACGATGGAGAGGTGAGTGGTCCGGACGGGCCACACTGGAGAAGGACAATCGACAAAGAAGACAGATCCCTTATTGCTCATGGTACATGGGTGCTCGTAAAGTTGCCCAAAGGCAAGCGAGCACTGACGTCCAAATGGATCTTCAAAATGAAGTACGATGCTCAAGGAAATGTTGAGCGATACAAAGCCAGACTTGTTATACGTGGATACGAGCAAGTGAAATACGTGAGCTATGACGAAATATTTGCTCTAGTTATTCGATTAGAGTCTTTGCGGATGCTGCTTGCTCTGGTGGCGATTAAAGACTGGGAGTGTCACCAGACCGACGTGGACACGGCATTTCTAAACGGCGACATGACGGAAGAAGTGTACATGCTGCAACCAGAAGGCCTCGTGAAACCTGGTCAGGCGCACCTTGTTTGCAGACTTCTAAAGTCGCTGTATGGGTTGACGCAGGCGCTGAGGGCATGGCACAAGAAGCTGACAGATTTTATGAGAACCCACGAATGTGTGAAGTTAAATAGCGACGCCTGTATTTACGTCCGTACTGGAGCTAGTGGAGTAGCAATAATTGATATTTACGTGGACGACCTACTTCTGATTGCAGATACTGTGAGTGGAATTCATGAGATCGAGACCACGCTGCCATCGGGCTTCAAGTGTAAAGATATGGGCAAAGTTCATCACATCCTCGGACTCCGAGTGCGCCGGAACCGAGCTTGCAAGGACACTGACTTTTGACCAAACCACGTACGCGAAAAGTGTCTTGGAGAAGTTCAACTTAGCGCAGCTAAACTCATGTAAGACTCCGTGTGATCTTGGAGTCGTCCTATCTAACCCGACAGCCCCAAAACGGAGAGCGAACGAGAGCAGATGAAGAACAAGGATTACAGAGGCCTGGTCGGTTCTCTAATGTACCGTATGAGTGGTAGCAGACTCCAATATTTCATTCGGAATCCAATGTGTGAGCAAGTACTTGAATAATTCGGGGCTCGCACATTGGAATGCTGCAAAACGCATTCTTCGCTACGTGAAAGGGACTATTGGTCACGGACTTGTCATCAACGGGCGCAGTCGCAATGGCTTCCAGCTAACTGCTTTTGTGGATTCAGACTACGCAAAAGATATCGGCACAAGAAGATCCGTATCGGGTTACGTCATGATGCTAGGAGACTGCGCGATAACGTACTCGTGTAAGAGCCAAAGGACGGTGACATTATCATCCACCGAAGCGGAGTATATGTTGTTGGCTGATGGAGTGACGGAACTGATCTTTCTTCGAGAATTATTGGAGGAGTTAAACGTGCAGTAGGCCCAACAGTGATCAATGTGGATAATTAATCGGCAATCGCAATGGCCAATAATCCTATTCATCATCAGCGGACAAAACACATTCACTCAAGATATCACTTTGTTTGAGAGCGTATCGTCATGGAGGACGTTGTCATTGAATATGTGAGTACGAGGAACAATATCGCTGATCTACTAACGAAAGATGTGACCACAGACGTACGGCGCTACGAGGACGACTGGGGGCTCTTGAGGTGCGCGACGAGCAGGAACAATCGACGCTTGAAGCGCGAAGTCGAACTTGAGTGCAAACTACGGCGTACGGGGCTCTTGGAGGGCTGGGTACGGGCTGGCTTCATGATGAGAGCGTAGCGACAGCGTGCGGAGCTCTCTGAACTGGACACGAGCTGGCTAAAGGAGACTGGTGACGGAACACGAAACTTCGAAAAAGGCTGGGTGTTGGCCGACCAAGAGGATACGATGTCTGAGATGGAGGCGCGTTGCACAAACCCGAGCTCACTGTGGCTTCGCGAGCACAGAGCGGGCATTGCTGGCTAACTACAGCTGACCACGTGGGAGTGTTGAGATTGGTCGAGCTGTGTGTAACGATAGATGAGGTGGGAGGATGTTTGGACCCAGGAGAGGGGTTTTACCTTCATTCCTCAGTAGTAACGAAACGGACAGGTATATAGGATTCACGGGCCGTGCGCCCTTGAATGCCACTCCTCATTTCCTCTATCAATATCAAAATTGATGGTGTTGATGATCGTCTTCAGCTGCTTCTCCTTTCGGCGCGTTGGCATAAAATCCGCCAGCCTCTCTTCAATGTCATCACTAATGAACTCCTTCAGTTTAAAGTATCTGTTCACCATGACAAACATCGATGACCAGCGAGTGTCCTGCTGAGGGACAGGTCGAAGAAGTGTTTTTCGCCTAGCACAACAAAGAATAATCAGATATCAGAAAACTAAAAATAGTTGGTTTAACACACCTTAACTTTGCGGACACCAACAGCGAATTCTTCACCTTGTACAGCAACTTCTGGATCTTAGTGATCAGCTCATCGTCGCCAGAGAGGACCAAGTTCACCGCCAGGTTTAGACGATGGCTGGCACAGCCTACCATAGGAACCTGCAGCTGAGTGGCAACAGCACCGTTCACGGAGCAATTATCTCCGACAATGTAGGTAATGTTGGCTTTGCTCCGGCCATAGTAAGAGAGAATTGTGTCCAGAAACTTAGCGTGACTGCGGGCTGTGTGGTCGTCGACCTCATCGTCGACAAGTGGCGCCATTGCGACCAAAAGGTTCTGTACTTTGCCATCGTGTCGAAAGGATGCAAAGATTGCGACGTAATGCTCTGAACGGAAGGTCCACCCGTCGAAAATGATATCAAACGACTTTGGCAGGATACCAGCGATCACAGTTTCAACTTCACGGACTAGTAGGCAAATGTATTTCACGAGGCGGTCCGTCGAAAGGCTCCCAATCCTTACGTAGTTAGATGCCGCGACTGTCTCACAGAACGAGAAGGGCAGATTGCACGAGAGCACAACGTTAGTCCAAGAGAAGACTGTGTGAGTCTTGTCATCGATGAACCCAACTAGCGTTCCCGTATTTGAGCTGGCGCTGGTCATGTCCGCAACCCAGTTCGTGTGCCACATGAAGACGTGGCCAAGTAGATTTGGGTAGCCAGTGTTAGGCTCCATTCGGCGTTGGACACCACAGCGACACTTGTATACTGTAGTAGGCGCTTCGTCATCGTCGAGTACAGCCTTGAAGTAGAAAGGCGCCACTTGCTTCGACGTGAACGGGTCCGTGCTGACCATCTTCTTCAACGTCTTGGCCTTCTTGGAATTCTTTGGCGCTCTGGATGGGGCTGAAGCTGTCTTTCCACGCGGCTTTGGAACACTCCACGGGGTCTTCGCAGGCATCGTATTGAGTTAAGTAGACAATGGGCTGTGAGGGTATTGCTCCAACTGAAAATGCTAAGATGTCGGAGGATTGATGCGCCATAAATCGATAAACGTGATCCATTTAAAGCCTGTGGAGAAGTGATTGTGAACCGGTCTCAGTAAGACCGGTTACAATAGGATTATTGGTGACACAGAGCACAAAAAATTGCAACCCTTCAAAGCAAAGCTGAAAATAAATAATTTTTCGATCAATATAGAAAAGTAATTAATAAAAATAGTATGTTCGGAACCCCTGGCTATACGTCTACTTGACGGGGACACGGATCCGTACAGTATCGTACCATTCAAAGCGCTTCAGTGGATATGTGATGCCGCGAACGAGGTGCCGTTACAGGATATTAGAAACTACTGGAGGCATGCTGGGTTTTACGCTGATGACGTGAAATTGACATCTACAGCTGTACTCAATCCAATCGAGTAAGATATTTATTTTTTGATACAGTACATTTGAGACCTCTTCAATTGTTTTTACTTATGTAACGTAAACGCCTTCAGTACTTAGTTCGTTGAACCCTTTCTTATTGCCGCTACTCCCTGTACATTATTACTACTGTAGGCAAAGGCGACTCGTCTGGCGAGGGTGAATCAGGGGTTAATGGTAACGTGAAGTTAATATAGTGATAATATCACCTGGTAGACCAGTTAATCTAAAACATATCACCTAATATTTTCGTCTTACACCATTTCAGGTTCGTTCTCCCCACCGCAGGAGTTCGATACAACCCCCCAGAGCCGACTTGCACATAGGACCGGGCAAATCTCAGTTCAAAACACCTAATGCCTGAGTTCAATACACACAGGTGTCTCTTTTTTTTGTGGCCAATTACTGCGAAAGTACCAACTTTTGTCATTTCGAGACCATTCGAGAACTCAAAGGCATCCATCTATTCATCGTTTCGCCTCGCGCCCCTTTCGTTTTGGCATAATGGGTAGCACTTACCCTGAAGACGTTCGTGCACGTGTCCTCGAGGCAGCGAAGGCTGGTGAGAACTGGCGATTGGTAGCAGCTCACAACGGCGTTGTGGTGGAGACTGTGTGACTCGGGTGGAATGGTCTCGAAATGACAAAAGTTGGTACTTTCGCAGTAATTGGCAAAAAAAATAAAAGAGACACCTGTGTGTATTGAACTCAGGCATTGGGTGTTTTGAACTGAGATTTGCCCGCTCCGGGGTGGTTGTATCGAACTCCTGCGGTGGGGAGAACGAACCTGAAATGGTGTAGACAAAATAATATTATTAAATATCAACCTAATATTAGTTTGAACATTATATTTCTCAAAGATTGCGTAATTGGAATTAATCCACCAATCATGTATCGTTAAAGATTGACTAACTGAAGTTTTACTAATCAACAGTTAGAGAAATGGAGTCCGGGACGATTCTGAAAGTGACGGCAAGGTTGGTGTTGTGTGTTGGCACTGCTAAGCGCATTAATCTAGCGTCACAGGCTGCTCGTTTATGAGACGCACGATCTGGACGAGGCTATCGGCAGATAACAAGAACAAATATCTTAATTTCGCTCTATCGACTTCAAACAAATGCAACTGTTTGCAGTTTTCCATCTCGATCGGCTTTGTCTGTGTCACAGTAAAATACTCGAGCAAATACTTGTCAGTTTCAAAGCCTGCCATCACTACTGCTGCTTTATAGCTCGACTGTAAGAGTTCTTAGGTGAGCCCTCGGTTCACAGAGGGCAAGGTGGCAAGAAACGTACTTAAGTGAGAAAATATCAGAGCGGCACGCCTACATAATAGCGAGATGTTTGGCGCCAACACTTCGAATCTATTTGAGGAGCCGCACGCCAGTATCCACGTCCAGTTTGCAGTCTCTGGTCACATTCGACAAATTTCAGCACAAAACATCTTTTAAAATCGATGAATATGGAACTTCAATGTCTTTGAGCACGAGTCCTATGCACCTTTACAAACTACTACCTTCCCATCCCTCTCGCAGGGGTCATCCTCGTGTTGAATATCGTGATGACGACACCTAGCCGACTGGCATCTGCAGATGAACCACATACCATCGCTATAGTCGACCGTGACCTCTTGGCCGCGGCGGATGTGTTTGGCGCTTGCTACGACAACAGTGACGCGACGCCCGTTGCTGACCTCGACGAACTTGACCACCGGCTCACATGAGTGGTTCCGGAATCTCATTAACGCACCCATCTTCTCCGCATTAATCGCAGAACGGACCGGCTAACTTGGGCGTTCAGGTCACTGGTCCAGTAGGAGACGAAACCCAGTGTTGCGCGATCGATCGGAGCGCGCAGCACTGACGTGTTCGACCTTACCGAAATACTGACCCAGCACCTCGTCGGCATCGATGTCGTCAGCGCCAATGACTGCCAAGGTGTTCGTGCGCTGGTTCCGCGCCAGAAGAACCTTATCGGATTCCGCCAGCCCGTTGCCGCGCGCGTCATCATAGGGGCAGGCGTTCGCGTTGCAGAGTACATGCATAAGTTAGTTCCGACACGAGTCCACTCGTCACGGGTCAGAGCACGTACACCACCCGAAGTGCTGGACTGTTGAGAATAGGGTCGCCAGCGGGTTATACAGCTCGCGCAAGTGAGCAACGCGACACGGCCACCGTGCGGGCACGAACGCGTCATTCGGCAGCGAAGCAGTGACCGAAAGCAACGACACACCGGAACAGTTGCGTCTCTCCTCACAGTTATCATGTAAGTGATGGCGAGAGTGCGAGCGACGTTGCGTCTGTGGGCAAGAGTGTTGCGCAGGTGGGGTTTCACGGCTTGGTAGTGGACTCGCCACCGAAATCTCGATCGTGGTGGCGTCAGCCACGGAGGCAACGCTGTACCGGTGTCGCTGAGCTCCGCACCCTTGTTCAGATCGTTGCTGGATTGGATGATCGGTGACGTGTTCTCCTCTTTACTGGAGGTATCGCTGATGCAGCCTAGCCTCCAGTAAAGCGAGGAATGGGTCAGATGCACCATCGTTCCTGACAGTAGCGATGTTAGTACAAGTTGCTAAAAATCCTTCTTTTGAAAACGAACCCTGTGATATGGAAGTCGGGGTCGTCTTCGCGCCTCCGAGCGCAGATTTGAGAGTGAACGGCCTTTCAGTTTGGCGGAAGATCTATGTAGTCGGCAAAGTACCCTAAGAGTGATGACCAGCATATTAAATACAAAAATCAAGAAAAACACTTACGGCTACACGACTTACTTTTAGAGTCAGGGCTATCTATCGAGACGAAATCTACGACTTTCCGGATTTATGCGCGTAATATTATGCCGCCTCGGAGCGAAAATCCGGAGCGGTTCAATCGGCCGGTTAGGATATTTAGATTAGAACTCACAATACTTCTAACTAACGACATCCTATGACTAAGAGAGCAGATACTGTTAAACAACGTGCCTAATTTGTGATCTGATTAATGAAAATGAAGATACCGTTTTAGGCAAGCTGTAGCAATTGATTATATTCAAATTTTGTATATGTAATGGTAAAATAGTATCGCCGAAGCAAAGCGGAGGAGGTAAGGTCCAGCATAAATTGGTGGATTTCGTACAAGTGGTCCAATGAGATCGCTAGAAAGAATGTGTTGGTGAACACCAAATGCGGCTACCAAAGTGGAATCAGATCCACATCCAAACCACCATTTTGGGGCCTGGCGGACGTGAACGGGAGAGCGTACCCACCAATGGTGATTCATGAATTATTATTTATCATCATCTCTTTCCGCGCTAAGAGATTAAGCTCTGTAATACATCGCCATCAAGCGTTATTAACCCTTTCAACCATATATACATAATGCAATCTTGCGCCTCTTAGCGAGTGTTACACACGTCGATCGTGATTACGCTGATGTGTATAGGATCGCCATATCGTAATGAGCATTTACTGCAAATTTTGTAAAATTTCGCTAATAAACCTACGAATTCCGAAAAATAACAGTATTGCCTCCAAATATGATAGCGTTATTTAGTTGCTGGTCGCTGTTATGAAGCCACAAAAAATATAGCGAATAGCACGCTGACTCAAGCTTTCGAATAAGGGTGCTTAGACTTTTACCAAGATCGTATTGGTTGTGCTACTTTCAAAAACCCAAAAGCCCTATAAATTGGTGGGACAGAGAAGTATGGCATTTTGCTTGGCAGACGCATCAACCCTGGGGAAACAGAGAAGTATGGCATTTTGCTTGGCAGACGCATCAATCCCGGGGAAACAGAGAATCCTATTATCAATATTCATTAACACAAGAAGCGTGCAGAAAAGATGTTTTAGGAGCTGTTGGAGTTATAAAGTCCGCTTTAGATTTATCGCATTACCATGCAAGTACCCATTCTCGAGCGGATATGGCGAAAGCCAGTATCATCATGCATAACATGATTTGCGAAGAATCTCGCAAGGTTAACTACGACACCCACAACTACTTGTTTGAGTAAGGTGCTGACGACACTGCTGATTTCGATTTTCGTATAAGTCGCCCTGAAGGAAGAATGCCAAGATCTATTGCGGAGCTTTCCTCTCGAATCGGAGAAATAGAGAATTCAAGGATTCATTTTCGATAACGAGATGATCTCATTGCCCATCTTTGGCAATTTTATGCTTATGAATAACAGTAATTAAACAATCCGTTTTAATTTTTTTTCTTATTGAGAGTGCGGCTTCTACATTCGATTCGTAAAATATGATGATAGCTTCCATTGTGCACTACAAAAAAGAAGTAAATAATGTCTCATTCTGGCGTGTTCTGAAGGGATATTGATCCAGATTAAGTTTGTTATGAGTTAAACGTGAGGTGGTTCCTAGCTGTTTATCTGGATGTCCAGGTCCGATATTGCAATGGTGCCTGCCATAGAAGGAGAGATTGTTGTACTCTGCCCCACTGAGACATATGTGGCTGATGCGTCCTCTCGTTGCGATTGTGGTAGCACCGTAGTGTCCGCCAGCTCGTTCAAACGTCGCAACAGGATGGATAACCGCGATTTCAGAAACGCTGCATGATCTGAGGATGTAGGCGTGACAGCAGAGAGCTCGTTCAGCATTGTGTGGAGTGTTTGCTCTTGTTGAAGTCGCTGTCTAGAATTAGGAAGACCAATCTGATCCTTCATAATTTCAACCTTCGCCTCCATGCTCGCGCTGAACTTCTCTTGTGCTTGCACTGTTCGGATCTGCACACTTTAAACTACCTCCGGTCTTTTCGTCGTCTTCTTACCTTCGGGTCTATCAGTATCTCCAGACGTTTGAGATGCAGACCCCTCAAACACATTCGGTCTCGAATTCTCACCATTGGACTCCGCGTGGCGCTTGGACCCGAGATCAATAATCATCTCGAGCTTGGGACAATTAACTAGCTGGTTGTAACAATCAATATACTGGAAACGTCTTTTATATTCCGTATTGTACTGTAGATGTGCCCTCTCCATCATGTCGTTTTCGTTGGCTCCGGACTGGTTTATGGCCTCGGCCTTCTTGCAACAGCGTATAAACTTCGAGATTGATTTCGAGATTTGACCAAAATAAGATTGAAGGCTGGTCCAGGAGCGAGGTTTAAGCGAGATATCCGCCAGGGATTTTGCAATAGGCACTGAAATTCTCCATTTCATCTTTCACTCGCGTCCAATATTTATCCGCGTTCTGGTCGGTGCCGACGCTTGCATCACTCGTCACGCGATCCCAGGCGTGAGCCAGCTCAAGATCCTCAACAGGATCGTAATTGCGACCCCATGCTAATATCCATTCCATCGATATATCCCCGGCAACGCCAAACCAGAAGTGATTGCTCTTGCGCGTGCTGGAGCCGGATAGATTGAGCTTTTGGCGCGAAACGTTGGCCGATATGGTGCAACAGGGCCTTTTTTGTCGAAGGCTATCTTGGGGCAATATTTGACCGCAGGATCGCCGGGAAATACCCATCGGAATTGTGATTGCACTTCGCCGTCACTTCGCCTGGGTACCTACCTCTAGGCACGTGCCTGGAGCACGCGGTTGGTGCGTGGCAAGCGTGCCCTGAGGGGTCATAAGTTGAAGTGGGTCGAATGGAGATATCTGATTGGCTGCTCCCAATTTGTTGGCATGGTTAAAGCCAGGGTCGGATTTGTGCATATCCAGTCCACATACAAAACGCAAGTGATTTACGTTGCCAACGCCTATGACGAGTATACGACGAAATGTATGTTTTGTTTATGGATTTACATGTGATTAGGAGGACTACGGAGGAAAGTAGAAAGGAGCTGGCAAAGCAAGCCAGGAACAACTAACTCAATAAAACTCACTTTCGGATTTCATTTCTTCTTAACCCTCGACTACTACAAGCCTTGAACGCATACTCTCAATTGGTTATGAGCCCAAGCTACGCCGACAACATCGACAAGCTCGTGGAAGACAGCTACTTCCACTGGGAGTTTAACATGCGGATGAAGCTTGCTCGGAAGGGTCTGCTGCCGCAGATCATCAAGCCCGAGTTCGACCAAGTGAGTGATCGCTCCACGGCAGAATGGAAGACCAACGATCTGAAGGCACTTGGTGTTATCGCTGGAGACGTGAGTCTCACGTACCAAGTTTACGTCCGTGGAGCACTGACTGCCGCTGATGCGTGGACGATGCTCGAGGAACACTTCAACAAGTAGACGCTCAAGAACCGGCTTCTCGTCAAGAAGTTGAACAACTTCAAGATGGAGCCTGGAACCAAGTTCGCTTCCCACGTCGATCAGTTCAAGGAGATCGTCCTCCAAATGGAGACGATCGGTGAGACTCTGGACGAGACTCGCCAGCTCGTGTTGCTCCTTGACAGTTTGACGGACGAGTACAAGATGATCAGTACTGTCCTCGAGAACACGCCCAGCGTGACGTTGGCCTACGCGATCCAAGCACTCCCTGGTGTTTAAGCCTCGGATGAATCGTCATCGGCTCAAGAGAAAGCTTTCGCTACGAAGAAGAAAGATTTCGGTGGCAAGCAACGTTTCAAGGGAAAGTGCCTCTACTGCAAGAAGCAAGGGCTCCGAGAGCTCGAGTGCCGTAAGAAGAAGGCCGACGAGGAATGAGGGCATGCGGCACGAGAGAAAGCGTCCGACTTCTCGTTCATGGCAACGAGTGCAATGACCAAGAGTGAATGGCTCGTCGACTCAGGTGCAAGCTCGCACATGACCAGCGTCCAAGACAAGTTCGTGTCCATGAAGGAGCTGAAGACGCCAGTCCGTATCACAATCGCGGATGGCACGAAGATCGACGCAGTTGCAAAGAGCACCGTCGGTATGAAGCTGATAGACGGGACGTCTGTCACGCTGTCGGATGTCCTGTACATCCCTGAAGTTAGTCGAAGGAAGCCTCATCTCGGCGGCGAAGCTGGCCGAGAAGGACGTCACCGCGCAGTTCAGCAAAAACAAGTGTGTCTTTAGCTTTGGTGGTGCTACCGTCATGGAGGCGAAGCGCTGTGGAAGCATCTACAAGTTGAAGACAGTGGGGGGCGAGGTGTGTCATGTTGCAACGACTACTCGTAAGAAGTCATGGGCTGTTGTGCACGCCCGACTTGGCCACATCCCGTACAAGCGCTACGAGGAACTACTGACCATGGCAGAAGGAGTGCCTCGCGTCACGGGAGAAGTCCACGGGGACGACGTGTGCGCAGGCTGCTGCATGGGCAAGATGAAGGCTGACAACTACCCGAGACATCCGGAGAAGCTCGTCAAGAGTGCCGGTGTGCTTGACCTGGTGCATACGGACGTAATGGGTCCGATGGAAACCACGACACCTGGTCGTTGTACGTACATCGTCACATTCATTGACGACTACTCACGCCACGTTACGCACTACTTCATGAAGGCCAAATCGGAAGTACTGTCGAAGCTCAGAACGTACAAGGCCGGAATAGAGAATGCAACCGGCAAAACAATCCAGCACCTGCGTTCGGACAACGGCGGTGAGTACACGCGCCGGGAGATTAAGGCCATCTCAACCACAGCGGCAGCAAGCATGAGAAGACGGTGCCGTACATACCTCAGCAGAATAGACTGGCTGAGCGGATGAATCGGAGCCTCGTGGAGATGGCTCGCTGCATGCTCTATCATGAGTGTGTCGACAGGAAGTGGTGGGCAAAGGCAGTTAGCACTGCGGCCTGAATCATCAATCGAATTCCCAACTCGGTCAATGTGAAGACACCCTTCGAGATTGTGAGTCATTCCAAACCACAACTCAAACACGTGAAGGTGGTCGGTGCAGCTGGATACGCTCACATCCCCGACGAGAAGCGCCGCAAGCTGGATGCAAAAACGCTCAAGTGTCGGTTCATGGGTTATGAGGAAGGAGTGAAGGGGTACCGCGTCCTCAACATGGCAACAGGCAAGGTGCAAATCGTGCGCACCGTGAAATTTATTGAGACAACTGATCCTGCGCGCATCATGACTCACTTGGATACCGAAGACGACACAGACGCATTGGTGCCAAGCGTGGATCAGATGTCGCTGAATGACTCCACGCAAATCGTTTCCACCGATGTTGAAGTTGCTGACGTGATTCCACTTTAACGTGACTTGAGCATGGATACTGCAATGATGCCATACGACTCGACACATCCTATGATTACTCGCTCGCGTGTTCGGCACATTGACGAGACAACGGATCCTGAGGAGGCACGCACCAGGAAGAAGCAAGCCATCCATGCTTCATCGTCGAGTGGGACAAAGCGTCAGAAGATGACTCAAGAGCGACCGAGGCCAAGTGGTAACGAGCTCGCCATTGTTGAGAGTAGACAGCTGATGGCTACCACCGGGGCTGTCCCGAAGACGTACGCAGAGGTGACTACTAGTGCGGACCAAGACAACTCGAAGAAAGCGATTGCAAGTAGACTTAAGTCGCTAACGGACAACGGTACCTGGAAGTTAGTGCCAAGACCAACGCACCAGCGCCCGATCGGTTGCCGCTGGGTGTTCGCGCTGAAGCGCAACGAGAAGGGACAAGTGATTCGACACAAGGCTCGTCTCGTGGCAAAGGGGTATTCACAACGACAGGGCATCGACTACGAAGAGACGTAAGCGCCTGTGGCTTACCTGAGCTCAATCAGGGCAGTGCTGGCCAAGTGTTGTACTGAAGGACTCGACATCGAGCCGTGCGACGTGGATACAGCGTTTCTGTACGGGAAGCTTGAAGAAGAGATCTACATGGAGCTGCCATAAGGTCTTCGGGAGCTACTGGCACTGGCAGAGACTCAAGGTGAAGATGATGTCGTCTGCATGCTACTGCAAAGTCTGTACGGACTCAAGCAGGCGTCTCGTGTCTGGAACGAGACCACCAACAACCATCTCAAGACCATGGGGTTTCAGGCTGCTGACGCTGACCCGTGCATCTACACGAGAGGTGCAGGTGATGACGAGTGCATCGTGTGTCTTTACGTGGACGACATGCTGATTGCGTCACGAGACAAGGCCATCATCGCGTCGGTAAAGGCTGGCATCGCCGAGAAGCTCAAGATCAAGGATCTAGGGCCCGCCCGTTTCATTCTCGGTATCGAGATCGACTACGACATCGATGGCAAGAAGCTTGGCATCTCACAACACGCATACACCGAGTCGATCATCAATACGTTCGGTCAAGAAAACGCGAAGTCAAGCCTGATGCCACTAGACCCAAGTCTACACTTGACTAAGGAGGACGGACCGGAGATCAATGAAGACAAGGCTAAGATGAAGTTGAAGCCGTACCGATCGCTCATTGGTGGCATCAGGTACCTGGCGTGTGGCACACGACCTGACATCTCGGTTGCTGTTGCCAAGTTGAGTCGCTTCCTGGAGAACCCTGGTGAGAAGCACTGGGATGCTGGAATCAAGGTGGTGCGATGTATGTTGAAGACCAAGGACGTGGGCAGCGTGTACGACGGATCGCAAGGAACAGAGCTCGTCGCCTACTCGGATGCAGACTGCGCAACCGCGACGGCAGACGCTCGGTTAGCGGGACAATGCTCATGATGTGCGGGCACCTGTGATTTGGCGCTCTACGTTTCAGAAGTCCGTCGCGCTAAGCTCGACTGAGGCTGAGTGCATGGCTCTGAGTGACTGCATCAAGGAAGTGGTGTGGATACGCCTACTGCTCAAGGACATTGGTGCTGAACAAGAGGGGGCTACGGTGATCTACGAGGTCAACCAAGGTGCCATGGCGTTGGCGAAGAACGTCGGTTATCAAGCTCGTACCAAGCACATCGACATTCGCTACCACTTCATTCGTGAAAACGTTATGAGTGGTGAAGTTGAGCTGGAGTATATGGAAACCAAGAACCAGCTCGCGGACTTCCTTACCAAAGGTCTGTCGTCGAGGATGCTACGCTACTTGATGATGAAGAGCAATTTGGTCGTCAAGCTCGAGACGTCGAATTGAGTGGGGGTGTCGTGATTGCACTTCGCCGTCACTTCGCCTGGGTTCCTACCTCTAGGCACGTGCCTGGAGCACGCGGTTGGTGCGTGGCAAGCGTGTGCCCTGAGGGTTCATAAGTTGAAGTGGGCTGTATGTAGATGTATGATTGGCTGATCCCAATTTGTTGGCATGGTTAAAGCCAGGGTCGGATTTGTGCATATCCATTTCACATACAAAACTCAAGTGATTTACGTCGCCAACGCCTATGACGAGTATAGGCGTTGCCGACGAAATGTATCTTTTGTATATGGATCTACATGTGATTAGGAGGACTACGGAGGAAAGTAGAAAGGAGCTAGCAAAGCAAGCCAGGAACAACTAACTCAATAAAACTCACTTTCGGATTTCATTTCTTCTTAACACTCGACTACTACGACCGCAAACGCATACTCTCAATTATCGGCAACAATCGTATAGCTTTTGTCGGGATCGGTGCGAGCAAAATGAGCAAAATGAGCAAAAACCTGAGTAAAAATGAGTTTTGTCGCGGCTCTCAAATTACTGGGACTCTGTATGACTCCACCGTCCGCTCCAAACGGCAAACTTAGGCGGAATTTATAATAACTAATGCCGTGCGTCGCCCGGGAAACTTTGGATATTGCCAAAAGTTTGCGCCTCAG